CCTCAATTTCCAAGTGCAATGGTGCAAGGTTCAAAAGTACCTCCATTGCAGCAGTGGGAGTAGTACTCATGGCACCAGTTGTCATTAGACATGCCATTCTTTGTAGTTTCTCTAGTAAAAGTTTGGATTTACTAGCCGTGGCCCTGTGCCACCATACAATGGCAGCGTATAGTATCAGGGGTCTAATTGCAGTTTTATAAAGCCATAGTGCCATTTTTGGTTTAATGCCCCAGGATTTCCCTATGGCTCCCTTACAAGCCAACAGGCAGCGAGTTGCCTTTGTACTAATATTCCTAATATGACTAAGCCATTTTAGCTTACAATCAAGGGTGACCCCTAGATGTTTAACTTCACTACAGATGCCGACAGCAATGCCGTCTAGGGATGGTGCTCTAATCACAACATTCCTCCTGTTAGTGAAGATGCATATGTTGACCTTCTGGGGATTGATGCCAAGCCCATTGTCTGTACACCAAGACCCCAGCAGGCCCATCACTGTTTTAAGTAAATTGGATATAGTCTCAGGGAATTTGCCACCCACCAATACGGCAATGTCATCTGCATATCCCTGAGCATAGAATCCCTCGGAGTTCAGCCTTTGCAGCAGCGAGTCGGCAACTAGGCACCACAGAAGTGGGGATAATACACCCCCTTGCGGACACCCCATCTGGGGTTTTATCCATAGTTCCGTGTCCCCTAATTTAGATTTTAATAGTCTCTCATTCAGGAATGATTTGATCCATTCTGAGGCTAGTTCTCCTACTCCCTTCCTATCCAATGCTCTCATCATGATATTATAGGGAGTGCGATCAAAGGCACCTTCAATATCTACAAAGATGCCTGCCATAATTTCCTTTTGTGCTAAGCTTTTCTCGATCCTGGCAACAAGACAGTGCAACGCTGTCTCACAGGATTTGCCAGCTTGGTACGCGAATTGTCCACTATGCAGTGGCCTTTCGATTAATGTAGTGTCCCTAATATGTCTATCCACCATCTTCTCAAGCACCTTCATCAAGAATGAGGTCAGACATATGGGTCTATATGCTTTGGGATTGTCATACGACTCTTTCCCAGGCTTAGGTATGTAACAGACTCTTGCCATTCTCCAATTCTTGGGAATGTATGCAAGAGCCAAGCTTCCCCTATAAAGTTCAAGTAGGTAGGGTTTAATTACAGATAGGCCTTTCTGTAGTAAGGCAGGGAATATCCCATCAATACCCGCCGATTTGAAAGGGGCAAAATTATTTATTGCCCATTCCATTAATTTAGGTCCAATGATCGCATTAGCCTCCATCCACTTCTGTCTAGCACCATGGTGGAGGTCAGTGGTAAGATTAGTCCTATTTCCGTCCAACACTCCACAGTCAGGAAATTGTGCACGTGCCATAGCCTCCAGGGCCTCCCTTTCATTGCTTGTGAAGCCCCCTTCCACCCTGACAGCCCCCACCACTCCCCCGTCGGCCTGTTTAGATAAAATCCTGTTTACTCTGGATGTGGAGGATGTGTCATTGACATCATCACAGAACTTCCTCCACGCTCCCCTTTTTGCCCTAAGTACGGCCTTACTATATTCAGTGAGTGTTCGTTTATAAATTTCCCATCTGCCTGTTCTCTTGGCTGAATTAAAGAGTCTCCTTGTAAGAGCCCTTAATTTCCCAAGTTCCTCGTTCCACCAGGATGTGTTCCTGTTGGATTTGACGATACAGACACTGTTATTGTCAGTGTTGGAATTAATAATTGCCTCGGTTAGTGAGGAGTTGAGGCATTCAAGGTACCAGATGTTCCTAATAACCTTAGGACAGCACTTGGTTGCCTCTGCAAGCTGTGTACAGTAAGAGAATCCCAATTGGTTCCTCTTGGTATTGGTACAGGATGTATACAGTCTCCTTTATGCTATTAGCAGATAGATTGTATCTGATATAGCGATGATCTGAGCATGACTCTTCCTTGGAAACATGCCAGCTCTTGATCCTTGATTTCACGCCCCGCGTGCTTAAAGTAATATCAATAACCTCAGATCTCTGCTTATTAACAAAAGTGGCCTCATTTCCCTTGTTCAGAATTTCAAGTTCATTGCTCATAATATAATCTAAAAGAGACTCACCTCTCTGGTCGTTGTTAGTGCTACCCCAGAGGCTATGGTGTGCATTGGCGTCAATAGATGCTATGCATTCCCCACTTCTTCCTTCCATAAGTTTCCTAAAAGAAGGTGTGGGAACGGCTTCCTCGTACGGCAGATATACAGAGGCGATTATAATGTCTCTGCTTTCTTCGCCCTCAGAGAGGGACAATTTCACTGCTGTTAAATCCCTAAAGCAGTAATGCCACAAGGGAAACAAATTAAGTTTGTTCCTGTACAGGATGCAGGTTCTTGGATGCATGGGCACAGCGATGATGCTGTACCCAGGCATTGCCAGTCCCCTGATCCTGCCATTAAACAGGTAAGGTTCTTGAATTAATAAAATATCAATTTCCTTACCTTTCACTTGCTGTTGCAGTACCCCACATGCTGCTGCAGTGGTGCAGATTGATCTGCAACAGCCTTAGCGCCTCTGTCGTGGTCATTGTGGGCCGGGATCCGGAGGTTCGCCCCTCGGCTGGGCGCCAGTAGCCCCCTCCGACCCCCGTGCAACACCTCATCGGTGTGCCCGGACCGGGAGGGCCCCCCGCACTCAGCCCCGGAGCTCTCCCCCCGGACCAACCCAGTCTGCGCCTCCCTGGTATCTCTAATGGGAGTTGGCGTACCTTTCTTCTCTTCCTTTCGTAGGGCCTTATTCTCCTCGACCACTTTGGCTTGCACAACGTCAGGCTTTGGTGGTCTCTTCTTCTCGAAAACCTTGAGGTAGACCTTGGTAGTTCCATATGTGATTGCCATGTTCCTGCCCTTAAGGAATTTAATACTGGTTTCAGGAAGCCTAAGAATACCATAGAAACCAGTCGCTTCATCCTTGATCCCCATTAGTGACCAGACGTTCACATCGGGGATCTTGCCGTTTTGTATCTGGAGTCTTCTCATAAGTTGTTCCTCCGGAATCCTTGCCCCAGGAAAGAATCCATCCACCCTGATGGGCCTCCTGAGTTCCTCTATACCACCGTTACGGAGCCTAATGCCCCCCCCCCTGACAGTAAAAGTACCCACAATAGAATTGAGCCAATCCTTTGTATCGTTATCATCACAGATGATAACGCAACCCCTGAGATAGTGGTAGAAGCCACTGAACTCTGGGTGCAAACCACCCTCTTCCAGGCAATCAACACAGTAGATTACCTGGTCTTGGACCTCCTCGCTCTGCTCCTTGGTCAGCTGTATGGATGGATATCCGCATGGGATTATAGCCACCCTGCTGCCCCCAGTTGCTAGAGCATAGGAGACCATACTAACCTCTCCACTCCTGGTCCTCTTGGCCATAGGCGCAGAGGTCCCAGGAGACGATCTAACTCTTTTTATGGCAGGTCCAGCCCTCCCGGAACCAAGGTCCCCAGTCAAAGCTGAGGCCCCCATAGCCCCTAAAGAGTCCTGGCGCACTGCCACGCTTAGGGAAGATCCATCCGCTGCGGTGTTTCGGTTCTCAGATCCCGACGCCACCACTGAAGGAGTGGATGTTTCCCCAGACATTTTAAGTTTCCTTAACTTCCGGAGCACAGCGACGCCTATGCCTATGCCTGAAGGGTCCAGCTATATCAGATGATGTTCCAGCCCCTTCAGGAACGTAACCACCAGACTCTTCAGTAATAACAGAGAGCCTGGTGACATCATCCTGGAAGTCTCCTCAGCTTGGTTCAGGAATGTCCCCACTGAGCTACCACCTAACCCCTCTTCACAACGTTCAATCATTTCCAAATGTAAGTCCGTGTCCGAGCCAGAGTCATCGCCTGTAATTGTGGTCCATTTGTCAGTTTTTTAATGGATTGGGTACATTTTGTTCCCACGAGTATGGGGGTGGTAAAAGGTCGCTACAGGTACTACCCCCTCTCCCTGTAGAAGGCTACTGTTAAATGGGGTGTCGCCTGGTCCCCCAAGTTGGTCGATGGGCATGTGTATTTTTATACACCCCCTGCCATTCAGCCTGCGGCTCGAGCCTCCACCTCAGCTTGGATGTCTTAAGAAGAACCACCACTCCTGCCAATCCGGCAGTGTGTGGCGATTCCCGCCTCTGCCGTTTCAAGTCCCATCGGACTCCCCGGGGGGCACCACGAGGAGGTGGCAGTAGGCGTTGATAGGGATAAGGAGGACTGGGAATTCACAAGTAGTGAGTAGGGAACTATCACTTGATCCTTCCGCAAAGAGTGGGGGAGATTCCCGCACTCATCTCCCTCTCTAGCCCTCCCGTTACCCTACCCATTTTGCCCCCTAGCTGAGCATTAATAAGTCAAATGTTTGCAGACTGATTCCTAAACGAATAGAATTCAAAATAGTGATGTATCAATACCATAATTAATTTGTGTTTAGTATAACTTCTATACTTCTTATGATAACAGAAAATATGTATATTCTAAAGAATTCAATGCCTAAACAAACAAAAGATACTCCTTAAAATGATCAGAATACCTGAGAAATAATTTTATTCTGTCCAAAGTACTTTTAAAACTACTTTTTAAAGTCTGGGTATGAAGTGATCTTTCTAAGAAATTTAATTTTCATTGGCTTTTGAGGAAATGATTCTCTTTCATCTACACAGTCCTTCCTGATTCTAGTGTGAGAAACAATTCAATATGGGATGGGATGTATGTGTTGTTAAGTGTCTGTTGATGAAATTCAAAAACATTTAAAGTTAGTTAAAAAATTAAAATTAATTTTAAAAATTTGAGTGCTATAATTTTGTAATTCTGTTATAATAAAATGTACCGAAGGTGATATAGTTGACATTTTATGCAATTTATTTTTTGTTAACTATATAACTGTAAAAAATGCTAAGTTGGACTTTCACTCAAATCGCTGTGAATTCACTCTAGTTTAAATAAAAAATCTTTCCCAACTTAATATCTATTTTATATTATAGAATAGAAGAAGATGATGAGCCCTCAACTGATGATGAACCCTCTCCTGATGATGAAGCTCCTGTTCAGGGTCCTTTACCATTTGAACCCAATGATGCTCCATGGAGGAAGTCTGAGTCTAGAATCAGAAAGCTGTAAGTCCTTTTTGTTTATTTTTCCATCTGTGAACTTGTAGCTCACCCAAAGTGGGCTGCCCAAGGGCAAACTCAACTGTGGCTCCATGTTAGAACTAACTCTTTTTCCTCACACTTTGATATTATTTACAAATATATACATATATTATGAAATTATATTGTGATGTTTTAATACATGTTTGGATTTGTAAATATTTAATTAGTAATTCTAAAGGGTAAGGAATAAAAAGGTAGGTTTCAACTTAGTGCCGCACCAATTGTTGAAGTTGCACCTATTGAGTACACCCTGCACAGGTAAGTGGAATTGAAATGGTTTTAAAGCATATTGGTTGTAGAAGTTTTCCCTGAAGACTAATATCCTCTGTAGAAGGTCTATGCTTTGAAAATCCTGCCAAAAATAATCAACATTTTTTATTCATACTCTTTTAAATGCTCTAAACTGATAGGAAATGTGATACCACTTTCAGTGGTATCATCAGATTTCATGTAATTCTGGAAGTGATAGAAAGTTGATAGATTGCTAGAAAAATATGTTAGAAATAGAAGTCCCCACAGTTCAAGTCCGTACATCCATATAGGTTTCAGGATTGTCTTGTAGATAAGTAATTTGTTTTCAATAGTCGGTATAGTTAGGCGTATCATGAGTTGAGTCTAGTATGTGGGTTCCATGTTAGTCTTCAGTCTAAAAGAAAGCCAAGATACTGGGCTGTGTCTAGGAAAGGAAGGTGGATGGAATTAAAGTGAACTGGTGGACAGGAGTTCCGTCGGAGTGTTAAGGTAATATGTTGGCATTTGGATTTATTCACTTTAATACGCCAGTTATTACACCAGCGCTCAATCGAGGAGAGGTGCCTTTGCAGATCTGAGGATGCTGTTTCGGGATCAGAGTTGGATGATAAGATTGCAGTGTCATCAGCAAATGTTGCAAGGAAGGTATCAGGATGAACAGAGATTTCAGCAGTAAAGAGGACGTAAAGCACAGGATTGGTATATAATGACAGCAGTACCGGCATGTGCTCTTCTGTCAGAGTGGTCAGTACAATATGTCAGGTATTGTGATATTTTAAAGAATTGTTTAGTGGTTAGTTGAGTTTCAGTAATTAGTGCCACGTCAATGTTCTTGTCAAGTAATAATGCAGATAGTATTTGTCTGTATGGTTTCGAACATCTTTCTCATTCCAAAGGAGAATGAATATATGTTTATTGGAAGTCATTTAAGAATTTTTTGGAGGAGTGATAACAAGGTGGGTGAGAAAGGATATCAAAGGAGTAACAAGAGATCTGAATTCAGAGAGGAAAGATGTAAGTAAACTGGTGAGGTCTGTGGTATTTGATGGAGGAGGGATTTGGTGTTGATATGATTTTGGAGGATTAGGTTAAGTTTGAGTAGTAGGATGCTGAGGGTGGGGTTGAGAACTTTGAGGTGTATAATGTTGCGCCAGGATCTCACAATTAATGATTTCGTTCGTACCTCCTAACAAATGTGCAAAAGATACCGTTGGGTCTATTATTTTTTAAGGTCCTCTTGATCTGGTTGGTTCTCTTAATATTACTGCTTCTTCTTGGATCCTGGATTTCTGATATCTTGACTTAGGCAACGGTAGAGTGAAATTTTTGACTAATATGAACTTATTTGGGTACCACATTAAATAAACAACTCTGAACCTTTCTTCTTTTAAATAGAGTTTCAACTGCACTCTTTATATGAAACATGTAGTTTTGTAAAAAAATCAATTTTTATTTTAAAAATTGTAGTAATAAGTGGAATTTAAAAGTCTAAATGTGACATTATTGGATGTTTTTCACATGTTAAATACTAATTAATAAATAATAAATTCCATCGATAACATAATTCCATTGATACAAAAAAAAATAAGATATTTTAAAGAAGTATATAGTGAAGAGATATTGAAAAGTAAAATATGTTGCAGAAAAATTTAAAAAAAAAAAAAATCCAAAACCAAACTCATTGATCATAATTAAAAAGAATGAGATATTGTCCTTGAATCTGCTGGATGATCAAAATGCCTTTGTATTGCATGTCATGAAAATGTTGATATATAAAGAAACAAATTGACCTTTTCAAAACAGAAAGGCATAAGCTTTAAATTAAACAAAAAAATGATTTTTTTTTTAAAATTGTTTGTAACCGATAGTTCTTTCATTTCATAATAGGTTAACATTATCAATTTTTGAATTTATATATTTTTTTTCACCTTAAACCGAGTATGAGATGAAGGAACTATTTCTTAGAAAATTCTCTTTTTTTTCGTTTTGGCATACACACCTTTGTTTTAAAATATGTAAGGAGAAACTTTCAGTCAACCAGATAAGGGAAACTTTTTTTCTTATTTGAAATTTTGTTTTAACGAAAATGTTTTTGATAAGAACTGGAAAATTCAGATTGATGTAAAATTGATATAGATTTTAGTATGGAGAAAATGAGGTCTATAGGAGAAGTCAGAAAAAAAATTGGTATTGTGATCACCAGAAATGATTACATTATTGTAGAAAGCAACGTAGTTTTAGAGGATTGATTCTAAGGAGTCAAAAAGAACCAAATAGCATTCTATGCAAGAAAATATTTCTACAACATATCAAGGTTTCTAGCAAGATTCATCCCTTGCACACAAGGCCCAATCAACAGTGGGTAGTGGTGGTTGGAAGAGAAGATCTTCGAGTTCATTAAGGCTTTTGTCTGGTTCTCAGGAAGTCCTGATTTGAATTTTCTGGATTTCCGACTTATGTCACATCTAGAGTTAATAGGCAATAGAATTACCACAGGGATCACACTTTTTGGATAACCTAATAAAAGGTTCTAGTGAATTCAGTTGACGATCTCGCTCATATATAATGCAATATATGATTGCTCCCACAGACTACAAGCCTTTGTTAAGGCCATATTGAATAATTTAATTTACATTCGATCATTTATAAATAAGACTTGTTATATAAATACATTTAACTTAAAATGTGTTCTGCTTACGATTTTCCTGACTTTTCCTTGCAAAAAATCTTATGGTAGAACTAAATACATTGAATCTTCGATAATTTTATGTTAAATTTATCTGTTTATTTATTCACATTTTAAATTTTTTAATAATTTTACTGTTTTATTATTTTTTCTAGATTCAGAAAGTTGTTCAATGAAGCTAATGTTACATTACTGGGTAATAGTCCTAAGAAAAACTTATCTACTTTTTCAAAAATGTCGCTGACTTCAAGCCCCCCAGATTCTCTTCTGTGAAATGTTCAAGATGTTTATTCATTTTATTTATTTATTTTAACTAATATTATTGATGTATTATAGTTACTTTTAATCTTATGAAACACTTAAAAAATTATTTAATATTTATGCAGAACAAGTGATCTAATGCCTAAAAATGAGTAACAACTTTTTCTGAAACAATGAGATTTAATATCACTCTCTTGCAATAGATTGTTGATTTTATTTATTGAAGATACACAGTAGTCCACTGAAAAAGTTATTTTATATTTACAAACTTCAGAAATATTTTAAGAATATTGAGATTAACATCTTTATGAACTGAATATAATTTATGTGATTTTATTATTAAAAAATAAATCAAAATAAAATATTTATAAATTAAAAATACAAATAATATAATTATTTATGAAGAATATTTTACATTTTACATTTTGTTCCCTAATGAAGTACGATCAGTATTTAATGGCTTTGCAAGTTAACATTTTGAATTAACTTAACTTTTAATATTCAGAGATAGCAAAAATTGTAATGGTTTCCTCTCATATCATGTACTTCTTATTTGTTGCTTTTCCCCCCCTAATCTCAGCATGGAATATTATTGATTGATATCTAATTAAGCTTATTTAACGAAAACATGATTTTTTTTCTTTTCTTTACTTTCTTAATCACCCTTTTCCATCTCTGCCTATGTTGTGCTATTTCTTCCCAGTTTGCTACATGCTCTGGATTGATGCAGCTCTGCAGCATATTGGTTGATTCAATCTATTCATCACTTTTGGCATTCCATATGGTCTCTTACCCCTGAAATTATTACCCTCCCCTTAATAACTGGTAAAAAGTCCCGAATAATACCGCATTAGATTTTTATGGGTGGATGGAGAGGATAGAAAACTGATATTTTTTTTTAATATTGGCTGATAGCTCACTTAAATAAGGAAGTTTTTCTAATTGTGAGGTATCTGTTGTCCAATTGGGAATTGTAAAAAAACCCACAAATAATCCACGACTTTATGAAAAATCGAACTTACCATAGTTTAACTGCCTAAAAGTTCCTTTTAAATAATTTAAAAAAAGACAAATTCTACTTGCATGTGATGAAAATTTTATCTAGTTTACTATAAAGCAATTAGTTGTAACCTAAATTAAATGGTTTTTTTATACTCTCTTTATCTTTTTCTATTCAACAAAAATTGTGGTTGACTTAAAGAAATACCAAACTTGAATTTCCTGGTTTTCTATGTGAAATTTGAATATGGTTTATTGTAACTTTTTTGTAGGGTTTAAGGCTTGCTATTACTTGTTATCAATTATATGAAATAAATGTCAATCTAAAGTTCATATCAATATCACAAATTTTCTAATTGATTGATATCGAATACAATTCTGTTGTCAATGACTTTTTAGAATCAACAAAATAAAGATACTTAGTAATAATAGTAATAATAATTTAAACAATCAAGAATGTTATAAAAACGAATTCATATTTAAAACGGCATCGTCTACTATGAACAACATCAATTTCATGGTTTGGAGCAATTTTTGCTTCAAGTGGAAATGCCATAAATATAACCACATAAAAATATCTCCATAACCACTGATTTAAAAAAAAAATGTACTGGAAATCTTTGTGAAAAAAGCTTATAGTTTTTAGATATTCCCAGAAAACAAAAAAAAAAAAAAAATAAAATTTTTCTCCTTCTCCTTCTCTCCCCATCAAAACCCAATGCGGGATTTTTGTCAGTTTTTAATGGAGAGAGTTATGAACAATTTCTCATAAGCTTTATTTATTTATTTTTTTTATGTTTGGGGCAATACCTGGTTTTACTGTTATTCATCCTTTTCCTTCATGGGTTAGTACTTTGCTCCCTGATCGCTACAGTTATCTAACTGACGATTATTCTCTTAAAATTTTCAATACTTCTTTGTTGGGTGCTGGTTATTGTCCAGGTCTATCAGATGCATGCATATGTATATATATATATATATATATTTTTTTTTTTTCGGTTGGCACTACAGACCATGAAGATCTTTGGCCGCGAGATGTGCTCTCCTTACAGACATATGCAGCTTGCTGGAGCTCAGATAGCCTGGAGGGGGTCGTCACCCAACCTCATGTTGGGCCACCCGTAGCTCAATAGCTGATCCCTTTGGGGCCAATCTGGCAATGTCCTTCCCACCGACTCAATCGGGTTCAAGGACAGTGACAAATCAGTCTAGATCCATGGATTATGGTTGCTTGGAGTCAGGAGGCACACGAGGACCTATATTTCTTTCTCCGAAACAGACCATCCATGGGCCGAACTTCAGGGGGGGCTAATATCCTTGTAAACCACATCCCGATTCCCAATTTAAGTACACGGAGTAGGGTCATCAGTCCTACAACCAGTCAGTATGAGTTGCCTCCAGTGTGCTGACAGGCCTCACATACCAGCGGGAGAAGAGAGACTCGGGCGGCATGGCTTTCCCTGGTAGACAGTCACCCATCCAAGTACTAACCATGCTCGACGTTGCTTAACTTTGATTACCTATTGCAAGCGCCTTAGCCCGTTCGGCTACCCCAGCCTCCATATATATATATATATATATATTAAAACTTGTTTTATCATGGTATTGTACATCCTTAATTTGAGATTTCTACAGATTTTTCGGGATTTTAATACCGTTTAAAGAGAGAAGGAAGCTCTGTTTGAGCTTGTTATTAGCTGATCTATTGCTGATTGTTGTTCATTCATTGAGGTTATTGTGAACCCAAGCTATTTGAATTTTTATACTCTCAAGAATGATTCCCCTTCTATGTAGATCCTGTTGTGGCATTAGAATTTTCGTGTTACTATCATTTATTTTATTTTATCTTCATTAGTTGTGCGCCTATTTGTTCTGCTTCTCTTATCATAGTCTCTCAATGTCTTCTATCCTAGTTATGTTATCTATATATCCCAGAAATACTATATAGGAAAACATGACTATAATAAGATCGAAAATGTATGTACATATTAGCATTTTATATCAAATTTGATCTAGCCATTTCATCAAATAACCTAGTTTTAAACTGCACACAATAGGACATGTCGTCATTCATCAAGTCAGTCTAACGTCGGCTCTAATAAAAACTTTATAATGACTGTCTCTAAAAATTTTTCACCCACAATAGGACATGTCCTATGGTCATAAGTGAATTCCTAGAATATTTCATTTACTGCCATCTTAAACAAATATGAATGAAAACAATTATTTCTGTGGCTAAGCTAACAGTTTTCTTTTGTAATGAGAATGAACAAAAACTTAATTGAGTTTTCTGCTAATGGTATTTGTTTACCTACATAACATTTACTCTTAGATAACACTGTTTTTAGAGATTGCTGTTATAGTCTAGATTTGATTTGATTTAGCACATTTTTTTTAGTTGTAGTATTTTTTAGATAGGTGGGTGGGGTGTGAGGGAGGGGAAGATATAAACTTAAAGTTAGGTTGTTAGCCCGTTCATCTACCTCATCCCCCATATGAATATAAAACGTATGTTCATATTAGCATTTTATATCAAATTTGATCTAGCCATTTCATCAAAGAACCTAGTTTTAAACTGCACACAATAGGACATGTCGTCATTCATCAAGTCAGTCAAACATCGGCACTAATAAAAACTTTATAATGGCTGTCTCCTGAATATTTTTCACCCACAATAGGACACGTCCTATGGTCATAAGTGAATTCCTAGAATATTTCATTTACTGCCATCTTAAACAATGAATGAAAACAATTATTATTGTGGCTAAGCTAATAGTTTTCTTTTGTAATGAGAATGAACAAAGAATTAATTGTGTTTTCTGCTGATGGTATTTGTTTACCTACATAACATTTCGTCTTAGATAACACAGTTTTTAGAGATCGCTGTTATAGTCTAGATTTGATTGGATTTAGGACATTTTTTTTTTTAGTTGTATGTTTTAGATAGGTTTGTGGGGTGTGAGGGAGGAGAAGATATAAACTTAAACTTAGGTTGTTACCCCGTTCGTCTACGCCATGCCCCATATTTATATAAAATGTATGTAAATGTTTGCATTTTATATCAAATTTGATCTAGCCATTTCATCAAAGAACCTAGTTATAAACTGCATACAATAGGACATGTCGTCATTCATCAAGTCAGTCAAACGTAGGCACTAATAAAAACTTTATAATGACTGTCTCCTGAATATTTTTCACCCACAATAGGACATGTCCTATGGTCATAAGTGAATTTCTAGAATATTTCATTTACAGCCATCTTAAACAATGAATGAAAACAATTATTATTGTGGCTAAGCTAACAGTTTTCTTTTGTAATGAGAATGAACAAAGAATTAATTGTGTTTTCTGCTGATGGTATTTGTTTACCTACATAACATTTCGTCTTAGATAACACAGTTTTTAGAGATCGCTGTTATAGTCTAGATTTGATTTGATTTAGGACATTTTTTTTTTAGTTGTGGTATGTTTTAGATAGGTTTGTGGGGTGTGAGGGAGGAGAAGATATAAACTTAAACTTAGGTTGTTACCCCGTTCGTCTACCCCATGCCCCATATTTATATAAAATGTATGTACATGTTTGCATTTTATATCAAATTTGATCTAGCTATTTCATCAAAGAACCTAGTTTTAAACTGCACACAATGGGACATGGCGTCATTCATCAAGTCAGTCAAACGTCGGCACTAATAAGAACTTTATAATGGCTGTCTCCTGAATATTTTTCACCCACAATAGGACACGTCCTATGGTCATAAGTGAATTCCTAGAATATTTCATTTACTGCCATCTTAAACAAATATGAATGAAAACAATTATTTCTGTGGTTAAGCTAACAGTTTTCTTTTGTAATGACAATGAACAAAAAATTAAATGAGTTTTCTGCTAATAGTATTTGTTTACCTACATAACATTTACTCTTAGATAACACTGTGTTTAGAGATTGCTGTTATAGTATAGATTTGATTTGATTTAGGACATTTTTTTTTAGTTGTAGTATGTTTTAGATAGGTTTGTGGGGTGTGAGGGAGGAGAAGATATAAACTTAAACTTAGGTCGTTACCCCGTTCGTCTACCCCATGCCTCATATTTATATAAAATGTATGTACATATTTGCATTTTATATCAAATTTGATCTAGCCATTTCATCAAAGAACCTAGTTCTAAACTGCATACAATAGGACATGTCGTCATTCATCAAGTCAGTCAAATGTCGGCACTAATAAAAACTTTATAATGACTGTCTCCTAAATATTTTTCACCCACAATAGGACATGTCCTATGGTCATAAGTGAATTCCTAGAATATTTCATTTACTGCCATCTTAAACAATGAATGAAAACAATTATTATTGTGGCTAAGCTAACAGTTTTCTTTTGTAATGAGAATGAACAAAGAATTAATTGTGTTTTCTGCTGATGGTATTTGTTTACCTACATAACATTTCGTCTTAGATAACACAGTTTTTAGAGATTGCTGTTATAGTCTAGATTTGATTTGATTTAGGACATTTTTTTTTAGTTGTAGTATGTTTTAGATAGGTTTGTGGGGTGTGAGGGAGGAGAAGATATAAACTTAAACTTAGGTTGTTACCCCGTTCGTCTACCCCATGCCCCATATTTATATAAAATGTATGTACATGTTTGCATTTTATATCAAATTTGATCTAGCTATTTCATCAAAGAACCTAGTTCTAAATTGCATACAATAGGACATGTCGTCATACATCAAGTCAGTCAAACGTCGGCACTAATAAAAACTTTATAATGACTGTCTCCTGAATATTTTTCACCCACAATAGGACATGTCCTACGGTCATAAGTGAATTCCTAGAATATTTCATTTACTGCCATCTTAAACAAATATGAATGAAAACAATTATTTCTGTGGCTAAGTTAACAGTTTTCTTTTGTAATGAGTATGAACAAAGAATTAATTGAGTTTTCTGCTAATGGTATTTGTTTACCTACATAACATTTCCTCTTAGATAACACAGTTTTTCGAGATTGCTGTTATAGTCTAGATTTGATTTGATTTAGGACATTTTTTTTTAGTTGTAATATTTTTTAGATAGGTGGGTGGGGTGTGAGGGAGGGGAAGATATAAACTTAAACTTAGGTTGTTACCCCGTTCGTCTACCCCATGCCCCATATTTATATAAAATGTATGTACATATTAGCATTTTATATCAAATTTGATCTAGCCATTTCATCAAAGAACCTAGTTCTAAACTGCATACAATAGGACATGTCGTCATTCATCAAGTCAGTCAAACGTCGGCACTAATAAAAACTTTATAATGGCTGTCTCCTGAATATTTTTCACCCACAGTAGGACACGTCCTATGGTCATAAGTGAATTCCTAGAATATTTCATTTACTGCCATCTTAAACAAATATGAATGAAAACAATTATTTCTGTGGCTAAGCTAACAGTTTTCTTTTGTAATGAGAATGAACAAAGAATTAATTGAGTTTTCTGCTAATGGTATTTATTTACCTAGATAACATTTCCTCTTAGATAACACAGTTTTTAGAGATTGCTGTTATAGTCTAGATTCGATTTGATTTAGGACATTTTTTTTTAGTTGTAGTATTTTTTAGATAGGTGGGTGAGGTGTGAGGGAGGGGAAGATATAAACTTAAACTTAGGTATGTTATTCGACTATCAACATACTTAATATATTCAAAAATCAGAACCACTATACTTTTAATAGTAAAACATTTTTAAAAGATGGGAGTATGTAAATTTATATGTATAAATAAACACACTTTTATATTGTTAGTTGCTATAAAAACTATCTGATGAATGTTAGGATAATATTAAATTGTGTACTGATTTAGTTCTAACAAACTCTTATTTGATGGGTATACTGTAATTTTGATGGATTTAGATTCACATTCTAATTTTTTTCAAAAATAGCACTTAGCTCCTTTAAAGAATAAATTATTTACATATCTTGTATATATTTTTGTATTAAGATCTACTTCTAGATTTATCCTGTAAATTACTTTTCATTCTACTGTGTTACAATACTGACTTATTTGTTGTAGGAATGGCTTTTTAGTGTTATAAGACTTTAGATTAAAAAATATTCAAGTTTCACATTTTTTAAAAATTGACTGTTATATTGCAATATGTGAGTTTCGTTATTAAAACAAAAGTGATGCCTGTTTAATAATAATAAAGCTTTTTAAATCTAGGGTTATGTTTAGTAGAAATTGATGTTAATCTCATTTAAGTAACAGGAAATTAATGTATGCATTTAAGAAATAAATCTTCATTATTGTTTCAGATAGGGAATGTTATTGTTACATATTTTCTAATGCTTTATTATTAATAATACACTGTTGGATGGTACCTCAGCATTTTACTGGGAAAGTGTTAGGGAAGTGACTTCTTACAATTTATGATGTAAATAAATATAGTAATTCATGCGTGACATAGTAGATATATTGATCTTAAAAGACATCTTCATTGTGATAACAATTAGACTGAAGTTACCCAGATTTTATTTATTTTATTATTTTAATTAAAATTATATCAACTAAGACACTATGACTTCATTAGGGCCATTGTGTATTAAAAAATATCTTCTAAACTTGTTTCATTAGTTTGTATGTGGTCCAATGGAAATATTTTACTGATATCCAATTGTTATAAACATTATATTCTGGACACTAGTATTCCTTGATTTATGTAAATTACTTAAAATTGTTTAATTTCAAGGGTTTATTATTATATTTATTTTTATATATTATTTATTTTTATTTTAATACATCACAATGTAAAAATCATAATCCAATAAGAGTATTATTTATTCTCATAGTTATGTCATGGAATGATTTTATTGTTGGTTAATAACAAAATAATCAAATTTTTGACCATTTTTTGTTTTAAAAATAGA